CCTCTTCTCTGCTGTCCATCCCCCAGGGAGGGGGCTATACATAGATTCTTGTAATCGGTTCCCCCTTTCTACCCGAAGCAAATCAGATTTTAAAATAAGCAGCTTCTTCAACCAAAAAAAGGTACAACAGACAATAATTATTAACCTGGGATGATGCCAAAAGATAGTTTTAAATGAAAAGGGCAGGTCACAAAATACATGTAATTCGCTGAATGTGTACCTCAAGCTATGAACCCCTGTGCGAAGGAGAGATCACACACGAGATGCGCATTGGCTCCGAATAGGGTTGGAGACAGAGAGCAGCCTTACCTGTCCCAGGATCTCAATGCAGGACGTGAAGAACTGCCTGGTGGGCGGGTGGCGCTGAGTCTCGTCGCTGACGTAATCTACCACGGTGAAGAAGAGACTAATGCCAACCTTCTGGACCCCAGGCGCGGGCTGCAGCTTGTAGGCATTCACCAAGGCCCTGCGGGAGAGCGAGGGTGCGGATATGGTCTGCAGTGAGGAGATGGACATTCGCACAAGGTGCTCTGTATGCCCTCTGAAGACACGTGGCCAATGCACCAAAGAGTTCTCAGAATCCCATACAGCTGTTACTCTAAAAATCTTTCATTTTTTTAGAAGTGTGCATCTGTCAAATTAATTTCACACCCTCTTCACGGAGGGGTAAAAAAATAAGCCATATTATAAAGACTAAATTTGTTAACATTTTGCCCTTTCACATTTTTCCTATTTTGTAATATAGGGTTGTGTGATACATGGTTTATTATTTAACATCACACATATCTTACATCATATATACCATATATATTCATGTATAAGCCGCGTTTTTCAGCACATTTTTAAATGCCGTTTTTGTGGTAAAATTAGGGGCCTCGGCTGATATTCGGGTCGGCTTATACTCGAGTATATACGGGTAAAAACAAGAACCCTAATTTCTGTTAGATTCTGTGATCCAAAAACACTGAGGGAAAGAAGGAGATGTTTGCATCAAGTGAGAGATAGCCTTTCTAATACTCACATTGTGTAAGCTCCTTTCCTGGTAGAAGAAACTGCGTCCTCCTACTCACCTTCTACTCTTCCTTCCCAGCTCCCCAAGCAAACCCACACAAGAACTCCATCTCCATCTCCACCTCCCTACCCCAATCTACTGAGGCAGCAGCTGGAATACGGAGTCACTTGAAAGCAGAGTGTCCACTCCCCCGGTCCCAGTCCTGTCCTGGGGCTTTCAGAAGAGAATGAAACTGACATCAAAATGGTCAAATTCAAATAGCCACTACTGTCGGGGGGCAGTTGACAATGAACACTGTCCTAGAACAACTCTCAGCAAGCCATCGCTCCATAAGCTGAACTTGTCATCCCGTAATTCAGGGGTCAGCAAACTTTGTGAAAATAAAAAGCACAAGGATCTATATGTGACCTCCTCCCTGAGGGACGGACAACAGAAAAGTGGGTGAAGGGAGACGTCGAACAGGGCAGGATATGACAAAATAAACAATTTAT